GCGTGGTGTGGGGAGGGTGCGTAGTGGAGTGGATAGGGTAGGTGCGTGGAGTGAGTGAATGGGTGGGAACAACGTGAAGTGAGTGGGTTGGGTAGGTGCGTGGAGTGAGTGAATGGGTGGGAACAACGTGAAGTGAGTGGATAGGGTAGGTGCGTGGAGTGAGTGAATGGGTGGGAACAACGTGAAGTGAGTGGGTTGGGTAGGTGCGTGGAGTGAGTGAATGGGTGGGAACAACGTGAAGTGAGTGGGTTGGGTAGGTGCGTGGAGTGAGTGAATGGGTGGGAACAACGTGAAGTGAGTGGGTTGGGTAGGTGCGTGGAGTGAGTGAATGGGTGGGAACAACGTGAGGTGAGTGGGTGCGTCGTTGAGTGGGGTGGATTATGTGCTTGGGGTGAGAAGGAGAGATGGGAGGTGAAAGAGAGGGAATGATTGGAAGAGATTGAAGTAGGAGGATAAAGAGGAGGAGAGGCGAGGGTGAGGGTGACGTGAGAAGACAGAAGGAGGAGGAGGAGGAGGAAGGGGAAGAGAAGTAGGAGGAGGTATTGGTTGACTTGCAAAGGACCTTGTGTGTGTGTGTGTGTGTGTGTGTGTGAAACTCCAACTACTGTACCATCTGGTGGGAAAAAAGCAACACTTTACACACACACACACACACACACACACACACACACACACACACACACACACACACACCTAATCTACATCTTTAGCGGATTTAGTTTTTCAATATTTCACTGACAGAATTAAAACACTTTTAATAAAATTCCCCGACAGACCAGGTTTACGTTTATTCATTCCATAAACCTAATAATTCCTCACTGCCAAATTTTTATCAGTTTTTACGCCCAATTTATGTCACAGGTGTTTGTTTGTTTTTGGTGTTCACGTATCGTCTGATTTACATGTTATTGTTTTTAAATGTATGATAAATGTAAATAAATATGTCCAATACTTGTAGAATGTAATTAAGGATTGAATTATTTGATACTCTTATGAACCGTTGCGTTTCATTGGTCGTTTTGATTACTGGTGGTACGGCAGTTTGATCCCAGTTCTGATAGGACCTGATCTGATCTGTCCTGTCCTGTCCTGTCCTGTCCTGTCCTAGCCTAGCCTGATCTGACCCTACCTAACCAAATCTAGCCAAACCAACCCTAACCTGACTTAACCTGACCTGGCTTAACCTGACCTGGCCTGACCTGACCTAACGCAAACCCAACCCAACCCAACCCTATTTTTATATTGTATTTTTTTTTCAGGTAGAATGACATAACATATTCCTACAGCATTCACACCATTGATTTCCAGCCGGGGACATAGTTGTTGCATACATATTGGGACGTTGAGCTCGTGACATAATGGTAGTGAGGGAATTCAGTAAAATACTAAACTATTTTGTGGCTTTTATCATTCATAATGGTTCAAAATCTCCTTTAAATGCCTATTATATGTAGAATCTTCTTTTTTAATACGACTGAAAAAATATGTATTATCGAAATTATATGAAATGATGATAGAAAGTTGAATTAGTTAAAAAAAAACATACATCACATTCACAAAAGATGGAAAAAAACCACCACATTAACAAAAGACGATAAAAAAAACCCCACCACATTCGCAAAAGACGGGAAAAAAAAACATTACATTCACGAAAGAAGGAATAAAATAATGTACAAGAAACACATAGAATAAGACTCCATAAATTAGCAGTGAGAGTGGCTGTGAAAAGTGTGTGTTAAGTTCCTCCCCGGCGAGTCACTACATCTGAGGGCGACCATTTGTTGACCTCATATAAAACATTACGACCATCTGGACACACGCCTCGGGAGTCATCACCACCGCCCTATGACCAGTGCTAGGGTGAGGGAAGGGAGAGGGTGAGGGAAGGGAGGGGGGGTGAGGGAAAGGAGGGGGTGAGGGAAAGGAGGGGAGGATATACGGAGGGAGGGGAGGATATAGTCTGAAAGCACCCCATCGCCTTCCCCCCTGCACCCTCCCCCTACCACCCGTCCCCCAGCACATTTCCCATCACCCCGTCCCATCACATTTCCCATCACCCCGTCCTCTAGCCCTGATGGTCATTGTTGTCACAGGAAGGAAGGGAAGGTACAGTATGGGATAGAATATTGCCTCCCTCATCGATCCCTTGGGCGATTGGCTTTTGTTCCGGCCAGTTTTTTTGGGGGGAGGATTGACACTGTGTTTATTTTTGTTGCTTGATGGATTGGTGTCTACTTGAACCCACCGACCCACCCACCCGAGCCCACCCACCCACCCACCACTTTTATCCTGCCCCCTAGATATTGTGTGGCGACCGAGGTGTAATATTTTGTTGACTTCATTGTTTTCCTCCTGACCCAACCAACACAGCTTTTCTTTTTCGTTACTGTGATGGCGGATGGCGTGGTTGATGATGGCGGATGACGTGGTTGATGATGGCGGATGACGTGGTTGATGATGGCGGATGACGTGGTTGATGATGGCGGATGACGTGGTTGATGATGGCGGATGGCGTGGTTGATGTTGGCGGATGGCGTGTTTGGTGGATGTTGTGTTTGGTGGATGTTGTGTTTGGTGGTGGTGGTGGTGGTGGATGTCGCGTGAGATAGCGGATGTCGTATTGCTTCATCCAAACACCACTACTACCATCACTCCTGCTGTTGTGTCTTGTCAATGAGTCAGATCAGTCAGTCAGATGGGATAACAATGATCCCCAGAGTTTTGAAGAGTTTTAGGGAGGGAGAGGGAGTGGGATTATGGAGGGAGAGGGAGTGGGAGTATGGAGGGAGAGGGAGTGGGAGTATGGAGTGGGAGGGAGAGGAATTATTTCGTCGAGGACATCTAGAAGTTTGTGCAAAAAGGAAAAGTTTGGTTGAACGAAGAAGTGTTGGTAGATGATAGTTTTGTCGTTCCTCGGGGTGGCAGGAAGGAATCAGTGTGGTCAAATAGGTGCCACAGGTCAAGTGCCACAGGTTAACAGGTGTCGAAAGTCAAGTGCCACAGGGTCAGGTGGTGCAAGAGGTCAAGTACCAAAGGTCAACAAGTGTCAAATGTCAAGTGCCGCAGGGTCAATTGGTGCCAGAGGTGAAGTGCTACAGGTCACCAAGTGCCAAAGGCCAAGTGCTATAGGTTGACAAATGCCAAAGGTCAGCAAATGCCACAGGTTAACAAGTGCCAGAGGTCAACAGGTGCCAAATGTCAAGTGCCAAATGTCAAGCACCAAAGGTCAGCAAGCACCAAAGGTTAACAAGTGCCAAAGGTCAAAAAGTGCCAAAGGTCAACAAATGCCAAAGGTCAACAAATGCCACAAGGTCAACAAGTGCCACATAGATGGAAAATGAGCCCGCACATCTACCAGTGACATACATAAAGATTCATAACTAAAGACCTTCCTAAAAACACACCCTTCTATTCACCAACATACATGAGAGATTTACACCGAGATAATAATGATGATAATAATGACGTGAAAAAAAAATGTAAAAAATAAACCTTAAACCAGATTGACTCTTAAGGTAAAAAAAAACAAAGGTAGCTTCCTGGTTGGGTCATGTGTGTGTGTGTGTGTGTGTGTGTGTGTGTGTGTGTGTGTGTGTGTGTGTGTGTGTGTGTGTGTGTGTGTGTAGTATACACACACACCCTTGAAAGTGGTACAACCCCTCATGATACTACCACCTTACCCCACCCCCCCTCTCCCCTTCCCCACCTCCCTTCCCCTCCCTCCCCTGTCGTGGTTGGAATTAGTCGTTAAATAAAACTCCAAAATGAATCACCACACAGGCTTACAGTATACTCTAAAGGACAATGGAGGCGGATAAAAAATGTTTGGAATCGGTAAATGGATTAATTAAATAAAATATAAATTGGGGAAAAAAATTTATAGGGAAATTATCAGGTAGGTTAATACAGGTGAGGTTTAATTAGTGTAGGAGGAAGGGGTAAGGTTAGAGGTAAGTGATAAACTAATTAACTTAGGATATGTAAGGTGTTGTGTCTGTCTGTCTGTCAGCTGAGATTATGAGGTGGTGGTTTGTCTGTCTGTCTGTCTGTCTGTCTGTCTGTCTGTCTGTCTCTACTGAGATTATGAGACTCTCTCTCTCTCTCTCTCTCTCTCTCTCTCTCTCTCTCTCCTCTCTCTCTCTCTCTCTCTCTCTCTCTCTCTCTCTCTCTCTCTCTCTCTCTCTCTCTCTCTCTCTTCACCCACCACCACTACCACCACCACCTACACATCAATGTTATGTACTTGTAGGAATACATCGCGTTTATTGAGTTAGTGTAAATTGAAACCAGGTAAATATCCTAGTACACATATACCTGAGGTGAGGGGGGGGGGAGGGCTCTCTATAGCAAGCAGGTGTATTGGTAACACGTATACTAATGCTGGTCATATCTCCCAGTAGCCAATTTGATTTTATATTTTTGGCAATGTAAGTTTTAGACCGAGTGTAAATATAATTTTTTCTCGACCTGCTGGTTTTCCTGGCTTGGCTTGGCTTGGCTTGGCTTGGCTTGGCTTGGCTTGGCTTGGCTTGGCTGGGTTTGACTGATACGGTGTTCAGTTCTATAGTCGTTTGAGTAACTGTATGGGGTCCTGTTTATCCAGAGTGGAGTGTTGATGTGAGCTTCGTCCTCCGCTTGGGATATTACTTATTTTTTTTTTCACTTATCTTCGTTTATGTGATATGTTATCCTTGAATTAATGGTCCTCCTTGAATTAATGGTCCTCCTTGAATTAATGGTCCTCCTTGAATTAATGGGTCCTCCTTGAATTAATGGTCCTCCTTGAATTAATGGTCCTCCTTGAATTAATGGTCCTCCTTGAATTAATGGTCCTCCTTGAAATAATGGTCCTCCTTGGATTTAATGGTCCTCCTTGAATTAATTGGTCCTCCTTGAATTAATTGGTCCTCCTTGAATTAATGGTCCTCCTTGAATTAATGGTCCTCCTTGAATTAATGGTCCTCCTTGAATTAATGGTCCTCCTTGGTCTTGTGTTACAGGCCGAGACTGAGATGCTGGACATCATGACCATACGAGACACACGGAAGGACAAGTTTGCCAAGGTGCCTAAGGTAAGGTCAATCACCGTCACCTGTCTCACTCACCTGTTGTCTCCAGCAGGTGATCTCGCCCGGGTAGTGTGTTTGTATACAGGGGTCACTCAGACAACCTTAACTAACATAGATACACACTCAGACAACCTTAACTAACATAGATACACACTTAGGCAGCCTTAACTAACTTAGATACACACTCAGGCAGCCTTAACTAACTTAGATACACACTCAGGCAGCCTTAACTAACTTAGATACACACTCAGGCAGCCTTAACTAACTTAGATACACACTCAGGCAGCCTTAACTAACTTAGATACACACTCAGACAACCTTAACTAACATAGATACACACTCAGGCAGCCATAACTAACATAGATACACACTTAGGCAGCCTTAACTAACTTAGATACACACTCAGGCAGCCTTAACTAACTTAGATACACACTCAGGCAGCCTTAACTAACTTAGATACACACTCAGGCAGCCTTAACTAACTTAGATACACACTCAGGCAGCCTTAACTAACTTAGATACACACTCAGGCAGCCTTAACTAGCAGATACACACTCAGGGCAGCCTTAACTAACCAGATACATACACACTCAGACAACCTTAACTAACTTAGATACACACTCAGGCAGCTTAACTTAACACTTACTCAACTCAGCCTTAACTAACTTAGATACACACTCAGGCAGCCTTAACTAACTTAGATACACACTCAGGCAGCCTTAACTAACTTAGATACACACTCAGACAGCCTTAACTAACTTAGATACACACTTAGGCAGCCTTAACTAACTTAGATACACACTCAGGCAGCCTTAACTAACTTTAATACTAATATATATGTATAAATGTACATTACTGTTATAGTACCAATAGCATTAACACTTACTAAGAGAGATAAAAGCTTCAAAATCATTCAGTTATTTAACTTTGCTTATTATAACTTTAGAGATAACAAAGGTAAATCAGTATAGATATTTATTAATCCATTTGTTTGTATATAATTGTTACATCTAATAGTTACCTTTCACCCCCTCACCTCCCCATGGTGTCTCCTGAACATGGTGTGTGTGTGTGTGTATAATGTGGCATCATAAGTTCTTGTATTTGTGTACCATGTTGAGAATCTCCCCCTCCCCCACCCCCGCCTCCTCTCTTTTATTTGTGTGTAAACAAGAGTCACTTAACCTCTTTTATATCCATCAACTCATAATCCAGTGTTTAAACCTATGTGTATTAAAACAAAACCCGGGAATAATGAATGTCTTCTAGTTTTCTGTCGAATGATTAAAATACATATGGAAAATAAATCGATTTACTCTTTCAATTTTTTTCACTCACATTAACTAATCAAATTTGTGATCCATATTTAAAAACCCAGAATTCATTATTCCCCCCCCAAAAAAATATATATTAAACAAATAAAACCCAAATAATATATATCTTTATGGATATACTTTAAATATTTATATAAAAAAAAAGATTCCGATTACTGTGCATTATAAACAACATCCATTAATTCGAGTCTTTGGCTGTTAAAACCAAATATATATAAACTGTTAAAAGGCAACGCGGACGATGGTAGTGTGGCACTTGACCTGACTCGCACACACACACTGCCTCTCCTCACCCTAAGCTGCCTCTGACATCCCCCCCAAAACTGCCTCTTGTCCCATGCTGCTTCTTTCCCGAGTTATATTTGACCCAAGCTGCCTCTGGAACAGGATGGCTCTTAAGCTGCATCTAGAACAATCTGCCTTCCCCAAGCTGCTATAGACTCGAGCTTACCTCTGCACCCAAATTTATTTTAGTCTAGCTTCATCTGGACACTGACTCAAGTTTTCTTTGATTCACGTTTTCTTTGAATCAAGTTTTCTTTGATTTACGTTTTATTTGATTCACGTTTTCTTTGAGTCAAGTTTTCTTTGATTCACGTTTTCTTTGATTCACGTTTTCTTTAATTCATGTTTTCTTTAATTCACTTTTTCTTTGAGTCAAGTTTTCTTTGGTTCACGTTTTCTTTGAGTCAAGTTTTTTATCAAATTTTCTTTGGTTCACGTTTTTTAATCACGTTTTCTTTGACTCCTGTTTATGTCTTACGTTTTTTTAGTTAAATTCATCTCTGACCTAAGATACCTGTCTCAGGTGAGCCCATTCTGTCGTAAGCTGAGATAAGCTGCTGTTATTACCCCAAGCTGCCTCTGATCCAGGTCACTGTTGACTCGAGCCACTTTCAAACCAAGCTCTCTGACCCAAGCTGTTTTTTTCCATACACCCCGGATTCAAGCTTTTGTTCATCCATACTTCTTGGAATCGAAGCTGCTGTCGACTCAAGCTGTCTCTTGATACATATTTTCTCGTATTGAAGCTTTTTTTTTTACCCAGCTATCAAATTTTTACGGTGTTTCTGATCTAAGCTGCCTCTGATCCAGGCTACTTCTGACCCAATCAGTGTTTGATCTAAGCTTTCTTTCATCTACGCTGTATCCGACCCAATCTGCATTTAATCCAAGCAGCTTTTGACCCAAGTTACCTCTGACCCAAGCTGCCTCCAACCCAAGCCTCTTAAACTACGCTGTCTATTATTCAAGCTCCCATTGACCTAAGCTGGCACCGATCCAAGCTTCTTTTTTAATTCAACCTGCCTCTGAAACCAGGCTTACTCTGACCCAAGCTATGGCACTGACCCCAAGCTCCCTCCTGACTTAAAACTGCCTCTGACCCCAAGCTGCCGCCGGTAAACTCAGAGTGGCTCTTAACCCAATCTAATTAACCCCCATGATTCAAGCTGGCTCTGACCCAGTCTAATCCCATGATTCAAGCTGGCTCTGACCTAATCTAACCCTATGATTCAAATTGGTTTTAACCCTCCAAACTAGCTGTAACACTCCAGCTGGCTTTAAACATCTACCCCTCCCCTCCCCTCCACCCCTCCCTCACCCCTCCATCCCCCCCCTGGCGTGGTATGGCAGTTTTGGGCACCGTCTACCAGTCGATGGGGGGGGGAGGGGAGGGGAGAGATTAAATATTTCCTCCCCCTCACAGCTAAATGTACAGGTAAAGTAGAAGAGTCATCACCGCTACCCACACAGTCGTCGTCTTCACCTCTCACCAAGAACTAATCAGACAGTAAATTGCGTTGTGTTAGGAACTTAGGATATGTTAACCTATGCCTACTGTCATGGATGGCGTGTGACATAACTTTTATTTTATGTCAGATATATTTAATAAAAAAGTCTTTAGATCTCAAATATACCTGTGTTGGCTGGCTGTCTACATAAATTGGCTCACCTGTCGTCATCTCACCTGTGTTCATAATGGTGTCACGGTTAGTTGACTTTATATATCTAATTTATCTGTCTTGTTGTTGTTTTATTCAAGGTATTAGACAACTTCATTATAAAAATCTCCAGAAACTCATAAGGTATTGTTATATTTTTTTTTTCCAATCTCTAGAAGTATTTTATTTTTTTCAAGGTATTCACAGGTATCTTCCACTACTTCTTCGTCTTAAATTATTATCATCCGGGAGACTTTTTGAAAGGTATTGTTGAATTTTTATAATATATCTCCAGAATTATTATTATTTTTTTTTTTTGCTATTATTTATTTCATTATAAGACGTGTTGTTACCTGAACTATTTCTTTCGCACCTGAGGTCTTTCTAATTAAAGGCATGATTAGACCTCACACCGTCGCCTTCCTAACCACCATCATCATCATCATCATCATCATCATCATCATCATCATCACTACTATCACCACCACCACCACCATCAGCACCACCACCACCACCATCAGCACCACCACCATCAGCACCACCACCACCACCACCATCAGCACCACAGTTCTTCATCATATTGCTACACCCGTCACATTCCCGCTTCATCGTGCCAATTGCTGTGTCAAAGAGCTTTTATATCATCCCAAGTCTTTCTTTCTTTCTATCTCCTTTCTCTCTTTCTTTCTTTCTCTCATCAACGTTTTGCTTTACCTTGATCGTCGAGAGACATAAACGACCCCTGCTTACCATTATAAACACGTAATTAATGTAAAGAAAAAAAAAAAACAGGTAAATGAAAACCCAAGACCTTAAACTGGTGATAATATTAATTGCATTATTTTTTGTATGTTTGTTTGCTTTTTCTTCTTGTTTGTTCATCGCTTTATTGCATTGGTGACTGTATTAATGTTTCTTGTTTATTAATAAGATTAGGGTGAAATATAGTTTGTGAGGAGTCATAGGTGTTTTGATGTTAGTGAAGTGATGGAGGCCTGGAGAAGAATGGTTGTGTTTCCCCTCCAAAAGAAAATGAGGATAAGGCTGTTATTTTATCCCTGACTATTTTATTTTTTGTATTTATTTTGTTTTTATCATTCGTTTACACTACAGACTCTGTGAACTATTTTGCTGGAACACTTATTATTATTATTATTATTATTATTATTATTATTATTATTATTATTATTATTCGTTGTTGTGTCCCTCTTGTGGTATTTTTTTTATCAAATTTGGGACACACACACACACACACACACACACACACACACACACACACACACACACACACACACATGATGTCTTAACACTCTGTCCATGTATTGCATAATTTTCTAGCATATCATTATTTATTTATTTATTTATTTATCTATTTTTTTCTCGATTGGTGTTCCTCTGGTGGCCAATTTAGGGACTAATTACACAGGTTTTGTTTCCTGATCATGTCTCGACAACTCATTAAACGATTTCCTTCACCTGTGTCTTGCTATCAGGTGACGCCAGGTACATGAGGCAGGTGTTGGAGCCACTTGTTGTGGGGTAATGACTTCAGTTGTCTCTTTTTAAATAGATCTTGTTAGTGGCACTTAATGTTAGATGGCATAATGTCTAAAAGGCTTGTTGGTGCCATTTTGGTGGTTGAAGGTGCCATTTTGATTGAAGGTGCCACATTGATGACTTGAGGTGCCATTTTACATGTCATCATATTATTGTTCTGTCTAAAAGGCTAGTTGGTGCCACTGTACTACCTCAAGATGCCCTACAAGCTAGTCCTCATAGTGGCCTGTCTAACTACTCTAAATGGTCCTACAAGCTAGAGGCAAATGGCCTTGTTATTCTCGACCACCTTCATGATAATATTTTCCCCACAACCTAAAACACTTCCTTCGGGGTCTATTATTAACATCATTATCTTCATCTGATTTAACATTATAACTACACTTTTTTTTAAACATGAATTTAACATAAACAAAAGTACAACATTTTTGGGACTATTTTATGGATAACATTGCATAAGGTCTTGTTACTTTTTTTTTTTAATATGGACACACACACACACACACACACACACACACACACACACACACACACACACACACACACACACACACCCTTAAGCATGGTCTTCACTGTTTATGCTCAGTCAATGTTTCTTAACTTGATGGTCAATGCCTTTACTCCTATGCTCTACGTATCCATACATACATACATACATACTTACACACCGACATACATACATACATACAGTACATACATACAAAGAAACCAAGGATAAAAAGGTCAATTGACAATACCTTTACCTTAATTTACCTACGAAACAATTAAAGCTTTTGGTAACAACAAAATCTTCTTACCTTTGATAGAAATCGGAATGTTTTTGTTTTTTGTTAGTTTTTTGTTTCTTAAATGTATAAAAAAAAATACGTCTTCTGTGAGTTGGCTATTTTTTTTTTTAACCTAACACTAAATTAGTTTATTAAGATGGCGATGAAGAGGTAAGTCTATTTTTTAAAGATTATCTGCACGATTTTTTTTTTTATTTTAGTATCGGTAGAATGTGGGAGGTGTATGTGTGTTATCATCGGTAAGGGGGGTGTATTTCTTTCGGTATCGGCTCGAGGTATGTCTTAGTATCGGCAGGAGGTATATCAGTATTGTCAGGGTGCTATTAGTATCGGCATTAGGGATATCTATCGGTATCGGTAGGAGGTATTTCTTATCAATATCGGCAGGAAGTATATCTCAATATCGGCAGGAGGTATATCTATCAATATCGGCAGGAAGTTTATCTATCGGTATCGGCAAAAGGTAAGTTTATCCCAATCAACCACAGGTCATTTTTATTTTCTTGCATGAGCTTCTGCAGCAACCAAGTGCTTCCTCAGTCACTGTCTAATGATTCACCTATACAGTAAACCCCCTCCTAATACCGGACTGATTTTGGCAACCCCTGTCCGTTATTGGGAGGTATCCGATATTGGGAAGACCGGTATTAGGGGGGGGGAGGGAGGGGTCCGTTATTGGAAGAAGTTAAGTTCAGAGTATTGGAGTTCAGCAGAAGTCAGTCAGTACAGTTTGTAAATTTGCTGTTGGATGTATGTAAGTAAGTATATGTATGTGTGTGTGTGTGTGTGTACAGTATGTGTGTATGTAAGTATGTGTGTGTAGATCATGTGTATAGGGTGGGGGGAATGGAGGGGAAAATTGTTGAAAGTCTTGAAAGGTTTTTAGTGTGTGTGTGTGTGTGTGTGTGTGTGTGTGTGTGTGTGTGTGTGTGTGTGTGTGTGTGTGTGTGTATGTGTTTAAATACGAGTGAAAGAATGGTGTTACAGACAGACAGAGTTTTCTATTTAACGGACTACATGGGAGTGTGTAGTCCGTTATATCGAAATTCGTAACTAATTTGGAGCTGTTCATAAATGTATATAGTACAGGAGTCACGGGGAAACTAGAGAGAGAGAGAGAGAGAGAGAGAGAGAGAGAGAGAGAGAGAGAGAGAGAGAGAGAGAGAGAGATAATAAACTAAGCAAAGTGGACATTGAAGATTAATACAGTAAGTAGTTGTCTTGTTACGTACAGTACAGTCCCCTTCACTAGTGCGTTTACAGGGGCTCGTCAGGTTTTGTGCAGTGTGGCAACCCTGTGTTTATTTACATTAGACAGACGGAAACTAGCAATAGTAAACACAATATGGAATCAAATTAAAACAATAATAAAAGAAATATATCAAAGATAATGATTTGTGGAATGTTTATATGATGAGCCCCTGTAAACGCACTAGTGAAGGACTGTACATCAACACAAGGTGAGTGTTTTCCTGAGTATCTGCAAGAGGTGTTATTTCCTTAGCATCAACAGGAGCTTCTTGTAAAAACGCATCGACGGAAAGATACTTATTTTCCCTAGTCTCAGCAAAAGGTTTTTATTTTTATTTTTTGGTTTCTGGAGCAGCACCACCAGCAGGAAGCCTCAGCATAAGGTATGTGTTGCTGTTGTGTTTTTTTTTCAAGAGCGCCAGCGGGAGGTCCAGTATGTCTTCTTATGATCATCCACAATGGTTATACTTCTTTCCTGAGCATCAACAGGAGAAGTGGTCATCGCTTTTCACCAACATCAGCAGGATGGAGGGAGAAACTTCTTGAGCCAGAGCTGTGTTATGACTGTCTTGTTTATATACCCACACTGGAATGGCCAAGGTGTATGCCAGTCATCTACAGGTGTGTGAGTAACCAGGTGTTTGGCAGTGATGCACAGGTGTGATGACCAGGACGGCAGATCACTCCTGTATTATTTCAAGTTATCTGTATACTCGTGTTCAAGTATACCAAGAAGGTTTACCTCATCCACTTGTTCACCAGGAATATCGTTGTTCACTTCTTCGCATTCCTTTTTTTTTTTTTTTTGGAAATTGAATGAACTTGACAGAAAACTCCACAGTGAAATGCCTCCGTCACCCACCCAGGAACTGTACCCAAGGAACTGAACCAAGTAAAACACACACACACACACACACAGACCTCCATCAGTACAGTACTGTGATGTACGTACAGGTGTCTCTTCCAATGGATAATATACACATCCACACAACAACGTTTAAAACAACCAATTACGTCTTCCCCGAAAAAAAGAAGAAGATTGGTTTGGTTGTAACAATCTCTTTGGCCTATGGTTGTAAATGGTTGTGACACACGCGTTGTGATATAAAAGCTAATTTTTATTTTCTTTCAGGTCAGATTAGCGGCCTTACTGTCGGTATTAGAAGTAAGTAGCAATAATTGACTGGTATATCATCCGAAAAAAAAAAATAATAAATACATTGGAAAATATATCATGATAAATGTGCTGAATAAAAACACATTAATTATTATTTTTTTTTTGTGGTTCAATTTTTATTATTATTATTTCTTGGACTCTGAAGTCTCCAAACTCTGATACTTGGTTCTGGTTGTGTTATTTCCCTACGAGCACAAGTTATTTTTCCTACGAGCACTAGTTATTTTCCTACGAACATTAGTTATTTCCCACTAGATTAGTTATTTCCCACCGGTATTAGATATTTCCCAACGAGCACTAGTTATTTCCCCACGAGCACTAATTATTTCCCACGAGCACTAATTATTTCCCCACGAGCACTAGTTAGTCTTCACGAGCACTAGTTTCCCACGGGCACTAGTTATTTCCCACGATCACTAGTTATTTCCCACGATCACTAGTTATTTCCCACGTGACTAGTTATTTCCCAACGAGCACTAGTTATTTCCCACGTGACTAGTTATTTCCCAACGAGCACTAGTTATTTTCCAACGAGCACTAGTTGTTTCCCACGAGCACTAATTATTTCCCCACGAGCACTAGATATTTCCCCACGGGCACTAATTTTTTCCCCACGGAGACTTGTTGTTTCCCACGAGCACTAGATATTTCCCACAACCAGTCCCTATTTATCTCTTAATAAATAGCTAACCTTAAACTAATACTACTAATATCATACTAGAAATAGCCGGCTTATACTAGTACTAGCCATTTCTTACTAGCACTAGCTGTCTCTTACTAGTACAATTCGTATCTCACTAGTACTAGCCATCTCTTACTAGTACTCGCCATTATTATTTTTGTTCTCTTCCACTCATTACTATATCACTCCAGTGCTTTTTAGCCTTAACTAGGACTAGCCATCTCATTGCTAGTAGTACTCCAAATAATACTCTTTTCCCTCTTTCCTACTAGTACTAGTCCTACTCCACTAGTACCAGGAGCTCTCACTCCTTCTAGTTTCTCTCACGCTACTAGTACATATCTATTAATACAAGCACATAATTATCCTGCTAGCAGTCATCTTCTCCAAGTACATAATCGAGAACTTTCCAGAATACAGTGATACAGTGAGACTTCTAGTTAACGGACTATACAGGAGTGTAGTCCGTTATACAGAGGTTCGTTATATGTGAACCTCCGTATAACGGACTATTATGGGGGGAGTGTAGTCCGTTAAGTGCGACACCTCCATATAAGGGGCTATTTTGGGAGTACAGTCCGTTGTACTGAGGTCAGTTTGATGTGATACCTCCATATAAAGGAATTATGGGGGGAGAGTACAGTTCGTTATACAGAGGTCCTATATCTGCAATACTTCCTTATAAGGGACTATTTTGGGAGTACATTTCGTTATAGAGAAATCCGTTATCTGCGATACCCCCATATAAGGGAACTATACCCTTTAGATTGATGTCCCTTAAAGTTTATTCCCTATACCATAAACTGGAATGATGGAATAAACAAAACAAGAAGACATAAACAAGAAGACAAAATCAAAACAAGTGAAGAACGTAAAGAGTTGGCGAGGTTCTGGAGTCTTCGGTTAATGGTGTTGGGTCTTCCTCATGAGATCTCTTCTTCTTCTTCCTCCCCCTCCCCCCTCTCCTCCCCCCTCTTTCTCCTCCTCCTTGACACTCACACAAGGTCAGCCAGTCCGTGTGTCGGAATGAATTGAATGACGCAATCGTATCTTCCTTGAGTACGATGACTCGACCCCTTGTGTACGATGACTTAACCCTTTGAGTACGATGACTTAACCCTTTGAGTACGATGACTTAACCCTTTGAGTACGATGACTTAACCCCTCGAGTACGATCAGGTCTCCCCACCCCCCAGGTCACATTTATGTACCTGACCTCATCTCTCGGTCACTCAGGTGTGAAATAGATGCCTTAGGTCCGTGTCAGGTACTGGTCTCATATCTGGGGATTAGGTGTGTGTGTGTGTGTGTGTGTGTGTGTGTGTGATATATCGAGCGTTATATAGTGATTCCATATCTATCTATCTATCTATCGAGCATCTGGGTATCATGTTAACATAAGGGGCTCAAAATTCAGGTCAACTTTCCTGTCGTTTCTTACATAGGTTTTTATTTGGGGGGGAGGAGGGGGGAGGGGGGGACGACCGAACCCCTCCCAAAAGTATTTAATAAAAGTCCAAATACTTTATCACGTTTCATGTTCGGTCAAACACTTTGTGCCTAACCTATCAATCGCTTATAAAAACAAAAATAAGTAAAAAAAAAATAAGTATGGATTGCACTTATTGGATACACCCCCTCCCTCCCCCTCCCCTCCTCCTCCTCCCCCTAAAAAAAAGTGAAACGTTTGTAGGATTTATATATTTTTTTTATTAATGGACTTTTGTCTTGTTGGCTAATTAGGTAAATTGTAAAAAAAAAAAATGTCGGATATATATATATATTTTTTTTTCCTTCTTCAATCCTGTGTTTGATTTATGTCATATACTGGTTATAATAATGGTCCCTTTTACGGCCTGTTACAAGCTGGGATATTATTATTTTTATTTTTATGATTATTTTTTGTTAATTTTTTTTTTATGGCGCCAAATAGAAGACAATAAGTCCCTTCTCGCTCTCACCTACGTCATTAATTCATCTGTTTATTTTTTATTTATTTTTAGTTTATTTTTAATCTTTATTCACTGTGTGTGTGTGTGTGTGTGTGTGTGTGTGTGTGTGTGTGTGTGTGTGTGTGTGTGTGTGTGTGTCCCCGTTTTCTATGGACGTGAGAGAACAAGTAATGAAAATATTGTTTTAGTCAAAGAATTAATAAAAAAAAAACACTATTTCTCCCCAGTGTATAATACCGTCAATAACACTGTAACTCACCACTATGGTAAACAATGGAACTATTTACCATTTCAACATCAGGTCATCACAACACTACTGCCATCACCATTGGAAACCGTAAATAGATTAAGTTGGTGTGATACATAGATTAAGATAGAGAGAAATGGCACTTTACTACCTGGTCATCTTTGGTACAGGTGAGAGGTGAGGAGGGGAGGAAGAGAAGAAAGGGTAGAGGTTAAAGAGGAGAAGGGAAGGAAGGAAGAGGAGGGAGGGAAGGAAGGAAGGAAGGAAGGAAGGAAGGAAGAGGAGGAGGTGTGTGTATGTTTATTCATGCTAAACTCCTGTTAATTAAAAACAGGTGTTGCGATGCTCCGTCTCTCACCTGAACACTTCCCACCCAGTCACCTTTCCTCTTCCTCCAGTCTTCTTCCTCTTCATCGAGCTGTCCGACTCAACCTATAGTCCCCTCCTCCTCTTCTTCTTCCTCCTCCTCCTCCTCCTCTTCTTCTTCCTCCTCCTCTTCTTCCTCCTCCTCCTCGTATATCCTCCTGAGTTAACATAAACGCACCACCGTCACATCTATCACCACACTCACCAAATATTATTACTACATCACACACACACACACACACACACACACACACACACAGCAGCCAGATCTCTGTGTCACATCCTCTGCCTGACACCAAATCACCCTCCTCCCCCCCTTCTACCTACCTCTTCCTCTTCCCCCAGTCGTCTCTAGATCAATGAAAGCCCTTCCTTCCTTACCCTTCCCTACCTCCTCTCCCTCTTCCCTTTCCCCTACCTCTTCCCCCTTCCTTACCTCTCCCTTCCTCCTCTTCCCTCCTACCCTCACACCTCTCACTGTTTATATAGAGCCACATGTATTGGCCCCTTGATCTGCCTATATATTATGTAGGGGCTGTTCCATCTCCATTTAGATTGGTCTATGTAAGTAGTGATGGGGTTGTGGTGGTAGTGGTGGTGGTAGTAGTGGTTGGTGGTAGTGATGGGTTGTGGTGATGGTAGTGGTGGTGGTAGTGATGGGGTTTGTGGTGATGGTGGTTGTGGTGATGGTAGTGGTGGTGGGTGGTGGTGTGGTCGTCGTCGTCGTCCTGCCTCCTTCACCAACTCCTCTTCCCACCTCACCTCACCCCCTCTTCCACCACCCCCCCCCACTTCACCCCTTCCCCCACCTCACCCCTTCCCCCGTCAACCTCACCCCTCACCCCCACCTCCCCACCCCTCACCCCACCTCACCCCTCCCCCACCTCCACCTCCCCTCACCCCTCCCCCCCTTCACCTCACTCTTGCCTAACACAATTGACTCAAACACGCACCGTGAATATTAAAATTTGAGAGAGAGAGAGAGAGAGAGAGAGAGAGAGAGAGAGAGAGAGAGAGAGAGAGAGAGAGAGAGGAGAGAGGTTTTGTCGTGAAGGAAAGAATGTGAAGAGGGTGGAGAGGGAAAATAAGTGGAGAGGGATGAAGAATGAAAGGAGATAAAGGAAGAGGAGGGGAAAGGAAGGGAACAGAAGGGGAGATGGAATGGAACCCCTTCTGAGTTTTAACAGAGGCACTACAGTAGATATAAGTAACTTGTGATTAACTTAACCTAACCTAACCTAACCTGACCTGACCTAACCTGACTGACCTGACCTAACGTAACCTTTAAAATAACAACAGTATCGAGGAGCTTTGTTTGTGTGAGACAAGGAGGAGGAGAATGCGCCGTGACACACTTTTGTTTGTGACTCACCTTAACGACTCACCGTTATGACTCACCTCATATATATTACAAGTACAGTCTTATCTCTCTACCTGTCATGGGTGTTACCTGGGCTTACCTGTTAAAGCTATTTATTAAAAATGTTATAATGTTAGCATCTCAACTGCTCCTACCAGAGATTCAGATGTTATTTCTCTCTTTAACTTACTAAATCTAACTGATCATTACTTTATCATTGGAATTTGTAACTTTTTGTCGTATTTTTTTACATTTATCCATTTTTTAAGGATCACGTACTGTCAAAATGTCGCGCAGTACAGTAGTAGGAGGAGTAGTAGTAGTAGTAGTAGTAGTAGTAGTAGTAGTAGTAGTAGTAGTAGTAGTAGTAGTAGTGGTTTG